TGGCCGTTCCACCCCAGCTCATCCCTGCCTTTGTCCTCGCCTCTCTCCACGGCAGGACTTTTTTTGACTCCAATAACCCATGTGCACTGCACCCCCTCCCCAGATACCACCCTCGAGGGACCGTGTTCCACTCCGATCATTCACGAAGCCTTATCAGCATGCACTTGTACAGAGATTGGGCCACGATTGCCAGTTTTGAATGGAATCTAATACAGTTTTAGAGTCAGAATACTATTTCTAAGTTCAGACTCTGTCGTTTACTGGAATAGGATGCTGGAGAAGTCCCCTTACAACTCCGAGCTTCACCGTCCTCGTTTGTAAAATGGAGATAGTCAAGCCTACGCAGTGTGTTTGTGGAGAGAACTAATGAGGTAAAGCAATGGGAAGTGACTTTTACATTTTCAAGTGTTAGACAAATATTAGTCTCATCAGTGCGTTGTTTCTCCCCCACGAGCTCTTTTACTTCCTTTCTAACTCTCCCCTGGGTCACCTATAGTGCCAGTAACACTGCAGGCTAATATTAGATGCAGACTTAAGAATGAATGAAAGAAATCTACTTGCCCCACAGAATTAAGGAAAAACCATAACCACATTAAATTTATTGTAGACGTTGTTCCACAGAATGAATCTAGAACCTTCCCTATAGAGAGACATCCTGACAGGGATGAAAATTTATTTGCAGCCCACGCTCGCAAATCTGTGCTGAAAGAAAAAAGAATAGCATCAAAACATCCATCCCTCATTCAAATATGGGGCCAACATCGCTAAGGGACAAATGGGCCTCTGGAGCCCTTGTTAGCTTCCCCGCAAAAGGCTGCTACCTCTAAATAACCAGCTTTTTAAAAATCCTGCTCAAGGAGACCATTTTTATCTCCATGGTGTGATCAGTTCCTCTTCAACATCTGATGCAACCCTAGTGTTTTCCATTGCTTTCTAGCTGTGTCAGATTTCCCTAGAAGACAGAAATGAAAGTGATGACTAAGAAGATTGCACTTAAAATTCAAATTTTTGACCTACACATTGATTCCCCCACCCACCCCTCCCATTCCTGTCTCCTTGCCTTCCAAAGGGGGAAATTACCATTTTTACACAGAGTAAAACCTTCAGCCTGCACCATTTGATGTAGATTTGCAATCTTTAGGCACAGATTTAGTTCAATTTAGTTGGAACTATACAAAGCAGAACCTACTCAGAGAACTCAGACTTTTTTTTTCTATTTCCCTGACAATCTTCCAAAGTGACAGAAAGGATTACGTGCCAGAAGCGTACCAGTCACATGATCTATTTCCTCTCTGTCACTTAGAAACAACTAGGGATTTAGTTATCTCCTCCACAGTGGCCCGTATTCTATATACGAATCTTGCCCCCAAGTCAAATGATTTAAAGCACCATGTCTGAAATGGAGAAAAACATTGGAAAAAAGAAAAATAGCGTAAGTGGGGAAATAACAATAATATAGAGTCTTTCTTCACACTATCTCAACATACTTTCAAAGACTATTTCCTTCACAGACACAAGGTGAAATTTCCCAATTGGGCTTTTTTTTCTCAGTGACACAAACTTGAGTAATGTAGCCAGCACTTTGATGAATATCTAAGATCATTAAATAGTTATGGTGATGTGTAAATGTGGCTCATTTCTCACTGTAGTCTGTTCCAGATATGTTCACGCTTAAATCAAAATCGCCTAGCGTTTAGCAGACATTTTAGCCTCACTCACAGCCAAAAGGCAGATTCTCTAGTCTGCCAAGCTAGCCAAAAGTTGTTTATCAGGTGGCCAAAGCTGTTATCGAGGGATCTTTTGCAAGGATAAATGGTACCTCTTGTGTAGTTCAGCGCATCTTGCAGGAACTCAACCTTCGTCAAAATATTTATTAAAAGCCAGGAGTTGAAACTACAAAACTGATCAAAACCACCCCTAAACAGAATGAGTCCATGGTCTCAGACAGACGCATTAGCAGATAATTTTAATACAAGTCAGGTAACGACAGAATCAGGGCCGAGTCTAGGGGTAGGGTAGGGAAGGGATTTAAGGAAGGAGTTGCCTGACCATGTCTTAAAGGATAAGCAGGAACTGGACAGGAAAAGAGAAGGAAAAAGACCAATACAGGCAAGGAGAGTAGTATGGACAAAGAATCAAGACGAGAGACAGCCCTGTGCAGAGAATCAGCAAACGTGTTTACCCCGTGTGTGTTTTTTTAATGAGCCACTACCATTTTGCAGAGCTGAGCCATTTCGTTTGGCTCCTCTCCTGTTCTGGAGCCCCCTGGAGAGCCTGGCTGGGGCGCGCTGCCTTCTAACGCCCACGTGCGGCCACCTCCTTCAAAGCACTACTGCCTCAGCGCCCTTCCGTCACCACTCTCGGGACACTCAGAGGCACCGGTGCCGTTCAGTGATGGGGCGTGAGCGGAGGAAGAAAGCTCTCCCCCTTTACCATGGCCTGCTGTGATGAAGGGGTCCCCAAGCAGGGCTCAATGTCTTCCAGAAGAGTCAAAGAAACAGCCTCTGCAGTCTTCACCTCAACCCACTGTGTTACTGCCAAAGCGAAGGACTCCGAAATGACACCCTGGTGGGGGGAGCTGGGGCTCTGCCATGGGAGTCAAGGAAATCACCCCTTCTTCTTCAGAATCCTCTTCTCTCCCCCAGTAAGCCTGCAAGCTTTGATGTGGGGCCAAGCTCCTTCTCCCTCAGGCACTCAGAGTTCCTCATTCCGCAGCCCACCCTCCAGCTGACTTCTGACCTGCTGCCCTGCCAGTTTGCCAGACAGCCCAGATGTGCCTCCACCCTGACAGACGACATTGCTGAGGCCAGAGCTGCGGCCCCTGCTTCATCATTTCCACCTGCTTTAAGCACAATGAGAAAGTAATATCATTTTCAACACCAGAAACTGTTAACAGCAGATGCTTCCAGAGAAGGAAGCAGAGTTGCTACAGGGAACGGCAGAGGGAGACTGACCTTTTCACACACTCTCTAGTAGTTGTGAGCTGTACTGTGCATATGCAGTGCCTGTTCCAGAAGCATAATTTTCTAGAAAATTCCTTTGAAAATAAAAGTTACCTTTTTTGAAACCCAGAATTTTCCAAATACTTCCTAGAATGCAATATTGAGGCCTTCCTTTTGAACTGAAATGGCTTAACCATCTTATAGGTAAAAGGTCAGTAGGTTAAAAAAAAAATGTGGTAAGTAAGAAGATAGACTTTGGACAAAGTCTGCTCTGAGATCTTAATTTTTTTGACCTCTCTGTGCCTCGGTTTTCACATCTGTAAAATGGGGATAATTATAGTACCTATCTCACAGACTTATTGTGAGATTAAATGACCTAACGTACATGAAGCACTTGGTGTCTGCCACAGAGTAAATGCTGTATAACTGATTGCTAAGAATCATTATCCATACAGGTTGCTGCTCATCTGTCACCTTCTGCTACAGCATATGGTAGGAAGAAAAAGCTCCAGAGAAGTAAGGCATGCCTCTGAGAAGGATGGCACATAGACTGAGTGTTAAAAATAAAATTTGAGTGCTTTCAAAACCCCTGTCACACTTTGCCATGTGTCTACAGCCTGTTAAAGAAACACTGCCTTTCACATGAGCCACCGACGACACACAGAATAGGACCTGAGTCGGACCAGGGTCAAGCGTTGTTCCTTCACTCACCTGTCCTGTGGCTCTTGGGTCAATCACAAGTTCTCTAGTCTTAATTTCTCCACAGGAGTGTCATGGGGTCAAGCAAGCTAATTATGTGAAAGGGCTTTGTACCCACCTTAATCCTGCAAACGAGACGCAGTTATGTCAAAAATGCACAACTGGCAGCCTATTAAACAGAACAGCAAAGTTAAATAGAATGAGTGTCTCCCTGCCATTTCCTGCCATGAGAAAAGTTTACTTTTTGGTAAGACGCCGCAGGGGTTACATCAACTGCTGAAGGAATAGCCCCCTCACAGAATGCTCTCACGGTGGGCTTGCGGGGACCGCCATTGCCACCCACCCCGGCGTAGAAAAGCTGTGAGACTCTGAGGGGTTCCTTTTCTCTTCCAGACATTGTCCTTTCACTTACCTGGAAATAACTTGTCCCCTTCAAATCCAAGGCACCAAAACACACTGCAGATTTCTATAGTTCAATCCACAACTACTTAGAATCAGTTCAAAGAAATCTCAGGATCCAAGCTCCCCAGTTTTGTGACCTCAAAGTCAGTTAATCTCTCTAGGCCACAGCTTCCTTACCAGGAAAATGGCATTTCAGGTTCCAAGATTCACATGAGCTTGGCACAACTGTTAACCTGGTTTCCACCATTTCCTATCTCTCTGTCCCTCTGCGTTAGTTCGTAAACTTTCACCCCTAGACCCAGGCTGAAATCCACCTCACTCTCAGCTCCCTCGGGTTTTGAAGAAGGTGGGTCCTGACTTGCTCTGAGTTCTCAGGTGTGAGATACTGCTCTCCTCCCAGCCTGGCCCAGCTGAGCAGCATTCTTCCACAGCTGTTGTGTAGTAAATGTTTGCTTTGTGAAGAGACAGAGGAAAAAATGCATGGATGAATGGATTAGCTTATTCGTTTATTCAACAAATATTTACTCCGTATCCATTATCTACCACAAAGAGTAGTTCAGTAATGACCTGACTCACCTGTGAGGTGGAGGTGGCAGAGAGGAGGCTGGGGAGGTTTCGCTGAGGAAGTGAAGTTTGTCTGGGGCCTGAAGGATCTCAATAGGAGGTAACTCTACTAGGAGTAGTCATGAGACCCAAGGCCCTGCAGTGGGAAAGAAGGAAGAAATGAATGGATGGATGGATGAATGAATGAGTGAATGAATAAGTGAATGAACTAACAGACCAATGAACGGGCAGCCCGGTCTCCCTTGGTTATTAGTACTCTACCTCTCACTGCATTTCTTTTTCTGTTAGCATGTCCTTGTCGCCAGACACATGTGGTTCTATTTCAAGAGTCTATAAAGCAGGTGTGAGTCCTGGACACCTATCGCTCTGGTTAGAAAAGAATTTTGTAGTATTTATATAAACACTTCTTCCGTTTCTACTGTGTGGAAAGCAGTCATTCTCCAAATGGAGGGCTGAAAAGATTCAGACTTTTACTACTTCAGAGGAGTCACTCCTTTCAACCCCATATTTTTTCTAATTGATGGTTTCCACGGCAGCCTTTTCCATTATCAACGTAATCGAAACACTTCCCCAAACTGGCTATAGCAATTTAGATTTTTTTTTTTTTTTTTTGCAATAAAATCCAGTAAATCCAGTATAGAATTTAACTACGTCTTTCTTTCATAAGGTAAAAATCCTCAAGGGAGATAAGTTTGCTAAGTAGAGAGAAGAAAAACTTTTGTCATTCCTGAGAAGGGGGGAGGGTGGAGAGGAAAAAAATACCCAGTAAATGTCACTACTGACTAATCCCATCTCTTTTTGCAAGGCCCTGGGGGTTTTAGGGCTTTCCGTGCGGTAAATTAAACAGTGATGTTCCTCTGAAAAAGGAATGTGCAGCCTTTACTCCCTGGAGCACTCACCTGCAGCGGTAATTAAGAGACTAAAAGGTGAATGGAAATTCTGGGAGCAAGTAGTTTACAACTGCACCTCCACCATTCATTAAGTTCTATTACTTTCAAAAGCATGGTGTAACTCTAAGGTAGGCTAACAAAGGAATGTTTTATGGGTGTCTCTTGTTTGGTGATTAGGTAAGAAAGACTTTCGATGCAGTTATTCATTAAGTTCTAAAATGTCCAAATTGAGCTCGGGGCTGTGTGAGTCTGCCCTGAACCCCAGCTCATTTTGCTCAATTGCTTAGAATTGGGGCTCAATTTTCTTGCATCTTACATCTCAACAATACTTCCATAAAGGAATTTTGTCTCACCTTGATTAAAATTAAAGGTTCATTTTTTCTGAGAAGGAAATTATATATTAACAGGCATTCTGATGTTCTTCTTACCTTTTACTTAAATGGTAAAGGTTCTAAGGACATTAATAATTGCAATAGTATCATTATTGGGAGTAAATTTGATTCCTGTGTCTAGAAAACATATTGATGATGTGACAAATGATGATGTCACACTAGTTTGAGTTTTGCAATACAATAATTTACAACTACCTTAAGTCTAAACCACAACACAGATAAGTAAAGTACTGAAAATAAATTCTATAAATGTTACTGCCACACACACACACACACACACACATATGCGCGCAAAAAAAAATCCATCGAACATTTACGAAGTTAATAATAATGCATGGTATGCCTGTAGATAATCACGGGTAAAAGTACACTGGCTTCTTAGGAACTGTTATAAAAACTCCACGTTCCACCTACACAACTTCTAGGTCACAAGTATTCTATTCCTAATTGAAAACTGTTGTCTTAAAGTGATGGTTGCCAGATAGGAAGGGGGCTGGGAGGGAAAGGTGAGGGGATTAAGAAGTGCAAATTGGTAGTTAGGAAGCAGTCAAGGAGATGTAAAGTACAGCACAGGGAATATAGTTAATAATATTATAATAACTATCTATAGTGCCAGGTGAGTGATAGACTAATCAGGGGAATCACTTCATAAATTATATAAATGTTAATCACTGTGCTGTACACCTGAAACTAATATAAAATAATATTTCATGTTAACTGTAATTAAAAATACATAAATTAAGTAAAAAGAAGTTGATTAAATACATGTTTAATACTACCAGAAAACACACACACACACACACACACACACACAAAGAAAGAAAAAAACATCTCTTAGTAGATGGTTTTACACCCGAGACTGAGAAAGTCAACATTCCCTTACCTCCTGCCCTGTAGCTGAAGACTGGTGGGCACACGAAGATGACGGGGCAAAGGGCCAAGGACTCGATGCCAACTTTGACCACAGTGCTATTCCCTCCCCTCCCCACAATGCCCCAGCATGGCCCTGATGTTAAATCAGCTTCCTGGGTTTTGGATGACAGCAGGAAACACATTCTTCATGCTCCATTAAAGCATCCACTGGTTATTCAAAACGAAACCTTAGGATCTGCTTGATAATGTGAATCATTGTGAACTAACAGGATGATGGCAAATCTGAATTAGTGAAAACCTTCTTTATGCTCTAATGTGATTTATAGAACAGTTTTTAAAAGTAGTTTTATTACTTTCAAAAGCACGGTGTAACTCTAAGGTAGGCTAACAAAGGAATGTTTTATGGGTGTCTCTTGTTTGGTGATTAGGTAAGAAAGACTTTCGATGCAGTTATTCATTAAGTTCTAAAATGTCCAAATTGAGCTTGCAAACCATTTGTTTTTTAGCCTTTTGTCTGTCAATTTTTAAGCTATATATATACACATATATATATTTATATATAATACATATATGGGTGTGTATGTGTGTATGTATGTATGTATGTGTATATATATTCTATTCCCATTCTAATAAAACAACAATGGCTTTTGTCCACTTTGAATTGCCAAATTTACTACTGTCCTCTCTATCTTAATTAGGTTATGACCTCTTGTTAGTGCATCGGTTGCATGCAAGATTTTCAGAAGAAAAAGCTGCATTACCCAGGCATTCTTAAGAAATGCTGCTCCAAAACCAAGGGGCCACTGGCAATCTGCAAGAGCAAATGCAGAGTGAAGTATAAAACCAGGGCATCGACATAGCTTCCCAGAGGGGCACCAACAGTTCCATGGGCCCCATGCTGCAGATGAGCACGTGCTGTGTGAGTTCAGCAGACACATCAGTTCGGGTCACACCACATCCGTTGTGGCTGCACACACATGGCAGGCATGCCTATTCCTAACATTAGTCTCCTTTCTCTTCCTCATAGCTGTCTTGCAGAAGTTGGCATATTGATCCATATTCCAGAATCCTGAGGGAGCCTAGCCCAATATCTAAGTACTCTCACTCTTACATTAAATCGCAGAATCAAAATCCCCATATGCCCTTTCAGATAAAATGAGAGTCAGGGGAGGAAAGTTGTAAGTAAACAGTTACACAGGTTAGGGAGAAGACGTGACTTGGCAAGAGTAGGTAAGGATAAATATAAAGGTAGATGTTGTAGTTCCTCTTAAAGAATTAAAGATTTCTGTTTATCCCTTGCCCCGACCCATTAAAATGGCATTACCTGCCCACCCCCAAATAAAGTTGTTAAGGAAAAATACCCTAAGCAGCCAAGAGAGTCTGCATACGAGAATCTAACCGCACCTGTGTGCAGAGTGAAATACCAACAGAAAACAAGGAAATGGATGATGAGACACTCGTGCCGGTACGCACACACGCCATGTGGATATCGCCCCTTTTACCAACCTTTTTGAAGCTCAGTTGTCAGAATACTTGCAAGGCAGGTTTATGTCCTCCAGGCAAGAGATTGGACAAGTCTTCTCTGGGGAAACTGAATATCCCAAGAGAACCTGGCCCCACCCCCTGCATATAGCCCCGCCAGATCTCTTCAGAAAAGACCACCAGCTAACAATCCACACCTACGTAAAGTTTCCAGTTGGCATTTCAGTGTCTCTCCCTTAGAAATAAGTAACCAAGACATCTGAGAAATGACACACCCTTGGGGGGGAAAAAAAAAAGACCGGATAGAGCAGCAGAAAGAAGAAATTCAGGAGAAATTTAAAAATAAGGGGTAGAAGAAAATGTTTTAAGCTAAATTAATTTCCTCAGAGAGGTAAAAGAACATAGTCTATCACATAACAAGGCACAATTTTTAAAAAGAGAGCTCTTGGGAATTCTAAATATAATAGCAGAAATGAAAAGCTTGATAGATTAAACAATAAAGCTGAATAAATCCCCCAGAAAGAATGGGAAAAAGAGAAAAAGATTGAAAAGAGAAAAAAGGCTTTTTGGTTTTTGTTTTAAATAGAAGATCAGTCCAGAAGGGCCAGTATCCAAAAGGAGAATAAAGAAAACACACAGGAAGGGTGAGGAGAGGGAAGGATGAGGGACGGAAGAAGAAAGAAACGTAATCCTGGTAGATAATACAGCTGATATGTAGTTAGGGCTGAGGTAACTTAGCACATCGTAGAATGTTGAGTTCTAAGTCAACAATGGTAAAAAATGAAACCAATGAAATTTTCAGTGCAGAGTCCTCAAAAGACCCAGAAACTGGCAGTCCTAGATATTTTAGAAACTGAGAGCTAAAGCAAACAAACCCAAGGAGTGCTGAGTGATGGCTCTTTGAGAGGCGGTTCAAGCCTTCTTTTCCCTTCTTCCCCCACCCCCACAGAAGCAGCAGGCTTGATTTTTGCAGGGACTCTTTCTGGGGTGGAGGTCAACTGGCCCAGCTACTGATTTGGAAACAGTACCACAAACTAGGGCATTTAGTGACCATAAAATGCTGAGACTCCTAGCCTACCTTCCCTGGCCCTATTACCCTAATTAACTATCAGAACACTGGGACACAAGAAAAGTTTCCTTTCAAATGTGACCAGCCAAGAAAAAAAGACGAGAAAAAACTGCACCAGAGGTTTCCTAAAATAGTGCTTCCAGATCACAACAGTAAAGCTCAACATCAACAAGACCCATCTATAAACTCAAAGTTTGCACTGACCTTTTCAGTCCTCTACTCTCTTCCTGAGCAGACACACAAGGATTATCAGGTATATAAAGGAGACCTAGAACAATAAAATGAGAGAATAAACAAATAGATAAAAGTGACTTGGACGAAACAAAACACTCAAAAATTAAAAAGTGTCATTAATACTCTCAAAGAAATGAGTCAATGTTATACCCTTAAAACAAGAATAGGAAATCATAAAAAGGAACTTTCAAATTACAAACAAAGAGCTATTAGGAATTGATAAACGTAACAGCAGTAATGAAAAACTCAAAAGAAGGATAAGAAAATAAAGTTGAGGCATTCTTCTAAAAAGGAGAGTAAAATGCAGAGGGAAACAGAAATGAAAAAATGGAGATATTAGAGGACCCGTCCAGGACTTCCAATATCCAATTAGCAAGAGTTGCAAAGACAGGGAACAAAAAAACAAGAAGAGGAAATCATCAACTAAATAATTCAAGCAGATTTCTCAGAAGCGAAAGATATTGCAAGTTTCTACCATTTCCTGAAAGGGCCACGGAGGACACAGCATAATAGATGAAAATAGGTCCGTGCCACAATAATTTCATTATTGTGAAATTTCAGAACACTAGGGACAAAGGGAAGATCCTTTTTGCCTTGATTATGAGAGGATGTTCTCCACAAAAACAAGAGAGTAAACCACGAAAGGCGAAGAGATGAAGAATCCAACTCGGGAGAAAAACACAGGGAATTCCGAGGTTGACAGTGAAGTTCCAGGGTGACAGCT